AACCCTAAAGGAACTGATGGTCCCCTGTTGATCAAGTATGCAGTTGTGCTCACAGCATCCGCCCAAAATGTTTTGGGCAGCCCACATTGTATCCTCATACTCCTTGCACGCTCATTCAATGTTCTGTTCATCCTCTCAGCAATTCCATTCTACCTTGCCTTACCAGGAACTCTTCTCATCAATCTGATTCCCTCAGCTGCACAGAATGTCTTGACCTCTGATTTGTCATACTCTCCTCCATTGTCAGACCTTAGGCATTTGACTTTAAAACCGGTCTGATTCTCAACTTCAGGTTTCCACTTCTTGAATGTTTCAAACACATCTGACTTATGCTTCAAGGAGTAAACCCATACCTTCCTGCTGAAATCATCAATAAAGGTAACATAGAATCTTGATCCTCCGAGTGATGATAATGCAGATGGTCCCCAAACATCTGTATGGACCATTTCCAACCGCACTTTCTTTGGCTCTCTAGGAGTCTTTGTGAAGCTTACTCTTTTCTGTTTGCCCATAACACAGCTCTCGCAAAGACCCATATCAACAGACTTCGAACCCTCTAATGTTCCTTTTGCAACCAACATCTTCATTCCTTCAGACCACGTCAGTGAGGTATATTTATAGTAATAAATCAGACTATTTTTGGTTATAGAGAACAAATAGGAAAACCTAAAATAGAGAATAAATAGGAAATCCTAAAATAGAGAATAAATAGGAAAACCTAAAATTAATCAGGCTCCACCACCTAACAACAAGGACATACGCGACTTGACATCGTAACACCTGGATGAGGATGGACGACTCGCATGCTACTTGCCGTGCGAATTGTCGAGGAACAAAAGGAAGATGATGAGAAGGGCAATGTACGTCACTGTTATCATCAAAAGGAGAAAACTACATTGCTAGATTTCTTTTTAGAACAAGGTTGGGTCGGGTTAATTGGAGGAGCTGGGTTGGGATTTTTGCTAGAATTGGGCCTTGATTTTTTTGTTTAACATTGGGTTGAAGGTTTGGGTAATTGGCTGGTGTAAATTGCAAATTAAAAGGCTCAAAATTGGTTTATCTAAATGGGATTATATATTGGGAAATTTTTCAAAACAACAATATTTTGACATTTAATAGGATTCCATAGCAAACTTTCAATATTTATTAAAAATGACAATATTTTAATTTGTTATGAGTTGATTTATGTATTTTTTTTCTTTATTTAATTTAACATAATATAATTAAGAAATGACAAACTAGAGAAAATCAAGGGACGATGTTTCAATTTATATTAAGTTGCTAAAAATCTTTCTTACTTTCTTTACAAAAGATTATAAGACCTAAAATAGGTGGTCTCTTCCTTCTTCATAAAGGCCATTTTTTGTCATTGTCTTTCAAAATTAGTTGTTGTTATGAAAACCTTTGAGTTTTATCTATTAAATTTTATTTTTTTTTGAAATTTACAAATTTGAACACCTTTTCTCACAGTGTATGTATTTTATTTACCATATTTTTGTATCCTTTCTTAAACTATATCATTCGAATATGTATGTCATTTGTATTTGTATTCATTCTAGTTTTCATGTTGTATTTTCATATGTTATTTGATATACTTTTCTCACAACGTATTTACTTTATTTAACAGAATTTTGTGTCGTTTCTTAAATAGTATTCATTCCAATATGTATGTCATCTATATTAGTTATATTCATTCTAGCTTTCATGTTGTATTTTGTATGATTAAATATGTATTTCTTTATTAGTTCGTATTCATTCCAATAAGCATGTCAAATGATTTTGTAGTTATTTAAGAAACATATTAGTATTCATTTTATTTTTTATTGTATATTTTATTTTTTTCTTTAAAATTATGTTTCCTTTCCTAAGTTGTATTCATTCTAATAGATATATTATTTGTATTTGTATTCATTCTAGTTTTTATATTGTATTTTGTATTTATGATATAAATGTATTCAACATCATATTAAAAAAAGGTATTCAAAATATTAAAATGTACTCAACATTAAACAAAATAATCATATATATGAAATTCTAAAATCTAAAAATCTGAAAAAATTAAAAGAGAATCACAAAAAAAATTGAAAATTATAAATATATGATGAATATATTAAAAAATTCAAATGAAAATTTAAAAATTTGACTAAATATCCGTATTGTGTATAATCTGTGCTTTAAACATCAAATCAAAAACTAATTTTGAATGATGAAAATTACCTTGCCAATCGAGAAACTGCTTGAATTAGTAAATAATTTTAGTTTAACAAATAAAGAATTTCTTGGTGAGAAACAATTTAGCACCTTGAAGAAATCTAGACTTGAAAGCTGAGACATGGTGAGGAAACACGAAATGTGAGGAAAAAAGTGACTAATAATAAAAAAAAATGTAAATTGTATTTTTTTCCAATTTATAACGGTTATTAGTGTGTATTTTTTTTCCAATAATGGATCTTTTTATAAATAAAATTAATTTTAAATACTAAAATATACTAGAATATTATTTTATAAAAATATTGTCATTCTACCAATTTAGATAAATATTTTAAATTGTTGCTATTTTGAATAATTATGTTAATAATTGTGATTTAATTGCTAATTTATTCTTATATATTTGGCTAATAAGAAGACAAATTAATATAAATTAATTAATAAGCTTTTTAATTTTAACAAAATAAAATAATCGACTTAATTGTACAATAACTTATCCAAAAACGCAAGAAATTATATAATTAAACTAATTAGTAAAATATTTAAACAAGATAAAATCTTTTTGAGATGATTTTCGGATAATATATATACATATATATTATCCGAAAATTATAAAAGAGATAAAATTAATTTAAAATGACTTGAAAAAACATTTTATATTTATAAACTCTAAATATTTCAAATTATTTAGAATTAAGATGTTCATTAATTAATTCCTATCGGGAAGGTCAAAATTGGATGTCAACAGATATATCCTAATTAAAAGACCCAAATCTCCATTGAGAACAACTTCAATTTGGGCTGTGACAATTCTTGGGTGTGTTAATCAAGGTAGGAATGGGATAATGAATTCTGGGTTTCATCATACAGTCCATGTAAGTGAATTAAATGGTGCACTATCAGTTTGTCTTAATTCACAAACCTATTGAATTATGCAAAACTCAATCTTGCTTACCATAAATACAAAAGTTAATCTTAAGAGGAATGGAAAAAACAAATAAATAAATGGAAGGTAAATGCTGATGATTGTAAATGGATAAAACAAGTTAAATTCGTAACTGAAATTCACGAGAATTTTCTGTATAAATAATTTCATACCCCATGGAACTATACCCACCAGCTACCTGAGGTATGTGGAGAAGATTGGGATAAGAAAATTTAGTTCGTAAATTCGTGATCTGGGTTCACAAATACGAACGGGGACGAATTTATGAACTCAGTTTTCTTCTCCCCATCTGCTCTTGATACCTCAGGTAGCTGGTTGGTATAGTTCCATGGGGTATGAAATTCTTTATACAGAAAATTCTCGTGAATTTCAGTTACGAATTTAACATGTTTTATCCATTTACAATCATCAGCATTTACCTTCCATTTATTTATTTGTTTTTTCGTTTCCTTTTTTTAAAGATTAACTTGTGTATTTATGGTAGCAAGATTGAGCTTGGCATAGTTCAAAAGGTTTGTGAATTAAGTACAAAGAGATAGTGCAACTCTTGTAATTGTGCGGGCAAAACACATTCACTTAAAAGACTTAACACATTATTTCAAGATGATTATGACTGTAACGTAAATAGCCATAAGAGACCATTATATCCTCCGACTGGAAGATTGACTTAGAGGGAATAGCCAGCCAAGTTATATGAGCTTTCGCTATTCTCTATTACTCTAAGATCAAAGAAGAGTTTTAGCAGGGTACATTCAACATATTGTTTGGTGTGAAGGGCACCAAATTTACATATTTAAAAATGGACGATAGAGTCAGAAATGGGGTGTAGATGGCACAAAGAGATATTAGCTTGTGTATTTATAAAATTTGATTCATCAAGCGAACTTGGTCCTACTTTTACTTTTTTGTAGGCCTAAACATCGATGTACTTCAATGAATAAAAGTTATAATGTCGTGGTTGGGCACAAATGTTTGGAAGATATGAGCATTTCTAAAGATCTCTACCTACCTTTTTAATATGAGAATTATGGAGAAAAAGAAACAGGATAAAGCATGAACGGGAGAAGACATCAGTAACATGAATCATTCGCAATGTCACTAGGAACATGTATATGCTGGGAAGGCTAAGCCTCATAGGTATTGTCCTATAAATTGGTCTAATTTATTGATAAAGTGGATAAGTTATAGACCTAAAATGGAGATAAATATAGTATTATGGGGATTCCCACCGAATGGGTGGGCGAAATATAATGAAAATGAAGCTTCCCTAGGAAATTCGGTTATCAGTTCTTTGGCTTTTTTTAGAAAGAATGATAAGAGAGATATTGAATATGTAGAAGGAGCAAGCATACATAATATTACCAATACTGTCACAGAAGATAAAGCCATTCTAGAGAGAATACGAGCATTGCAAACAATAACAACATAGAAAACTTATCATTCAGAACTACGCAATGCTAATGTATAAGGTACCATAAGGGAAGTGTGCATGTTCATGGAAAATTTCAGCAATTGTGATGGAAATACGAGGAAGTTTACAGAAGAAATAATATATGTTTCAATGCATTTTAAGTGAAGAAAATAAATTAGCAAATCATTTGGCAAAATAGCTATTGATCGAGAGGAATTTGCACATTTTACAAGTTTTAATCGCATGTAGCCTAGTGGGAGGAGAATCATCAACTACAAACTACTATGCCCGTACTTAACAGTATCACCTTTAAGGGTATAGAAAGTAAGGAGAGGCTACAACATCAATTTTTCCAAAAGAAGAATATTTAAAAAACCCTTGGAGGCAACAAAATGGGGGAAATACTATTTAAGAAACTAAAAAGGAATCGGAAAAATTGGAGATATGGAGTCTAGAATTGAACTATTAAACCTAGAGGAATCCATCAACACTAGTAAAGGGCGGCAGAGCAAAGCTTCCCATGCACTTTTTCACATGACCACATGTTGAAAGATAGATAGAGGACACTATATGAAAAGGATAAGGAGAAAAATAAGTGATATGACTTGCAAAGTGAAGAGGGTTTTCTCCTTTAGACAAGATCCAATAGTAAAAAGACAACAAGCACAATCCACAAAACCTGAGAATGCAACAACAAAAAAACTATTAAGTCGGTAGCAAGCAAGGAGGACAAATTACGAAACCACGATATTTACTCTTTTTAGCTTATTCTTTCCATAGCAACAGAAGGCAAAGTGATGGATTAGTCCAAGGAGGCACCATTGTGATTTGAAGAAATAAAATCAAAGGAAGAGTGGAGAAACAGGCGAAGTGAAAAAAAATTTGTGAATGAGATCTAATTATGAAACCTTACCCTATAATAGATATAATTCACTATCATGTTTTGTTTGGGCCTGGGTTTTTTAATTTTTTTTTATGATTATTTATTTGGTTTGTTGGTAATGGGTTAGTTAGTTTGGGCTTTGCCATGTAGGTGTAACTTTTTATTTTGTTGTTTTATACATAGACATGAATAAAATAAGAAATTTTCCCAACAAATATTCCTTTTCTAAACTAAATTTAATTCATCATAAATAGAAAAAAATTAATCATAAACAACGAATCTTGACTTGGATATCTTGAAAAAATTTAAAGAACTTGATATTATGTATTTCAAGATCTTCACATTTCATACTGTTTAACTCCTAAATGGTCAATTACAATTCAGAAGTCCATATATCATACACAGCGAGCATACCCTTTTACTCACTTAATTGAATTTTTAACATGTGCCACACATATTGAGTACCAATTATTTTTCTTACGTGTCAAGAACAAGAATTTTTATATGAGGAGCAACAAAACTTGAATGTTATCTTTTGTTTGTGATCATCTCATCTAATAGCTCAAAGTGTTAGAGAGATTATATTATTATATATTACTTAATTATATTTTCATTCTTTAGCGGTTTAATCTTATCAAGTGGATTAATTAATCCAAATAGGCAACTGGAGATGTTTCTTTTATTAAAACCTATGACTAGACTTGCCGATCCAATTTGAAACCTAGCGTAGATTGACACTACAAGTAAAGACACATCTAAAGTTCAAATTTGATGAGTTTGATCTTTAATTTTTTTAATTATGTGCCTCTCGTATTTACGGCTATGTTTTCAAATAATATATAGTGTGACATTTTGATGGATCTGCATACAACAAACACCTACGCACACAGGCACATGCACGCGCACACCCACCCACATATGTGTGCATGTGTGTGCTCACACACACACGTGTTGCACAACAATATCTAATTTTTGCTTAATGTTTGTATTAGAAAATAGTGAATCAAAAATATATTTCACTCAAAAGTTATATCAGTTGATAAATATTAGTCATTGCCAAAAAAAAAGAAAGTTTATCAATTATATCTTCTAAGTAACTTTGAAATTGTTTCATGAGATAAATTTAATTTATTTATCATGTTGAGTGAATTTTCCTACACAATTAATGGTAAAGTAATTGCATCTAAATAGCTTTAATAATTATCAACCAAACATAAAAGAATATATACTAAGAAATAATAAGAGAGGGAGTAAATTTAGATAAATATATATAAGAATTACAATAGGAAATTCTCCAAAGATAGGCATGGTGGTCCATTCGAGTTCCTAAGTTTCCACACCAAGGAATATTGAAGTTGAAACAATAACATATATCGATTGTGCACCTTAACACATGATAAACTATTCATATAACCAATTCCGAACAAAATTTAAAAAGGTTTATGCACGTATTTTTAAGATGCACCTCTCCTTTAAATATGCACAACATATAATACTCTATAATAAACCTTAAAACAACATAAACATTTCAACATACATCGTTGTCACATATTAAATTTTCCAAATTGAATTATCATAATAGGTTATTATGTAATTTGTCTTGTTACTGATTAATGTTTATTATAGAATTACTTATTATCACATCATAAGCAACGTGATCATGTAAAATAATTTTACACCATTTATTTATTGTTTTTGCACCATTTATCCCTTATGACCTAAATTTGAATTATTTTATATATAGATGTTATCAATACTTCATGTACAAAGGAGGTTCACATGTTAATTTCTATGAATGATGATTTTTTAGATTAAGCCGTTAATGTTCATTATATAAAATTACTTATTATCACATTATTAGCAATGTTATAGTGTAAAACTATTTTACACAATCTATGCATAAAGTTTGCAAATTTTTTTTCATAAGTTAATCTCGATTTGAATCCTTTTATCTATAGACGTTATCAGTGATCATATAAAAAGGAGGTTTATAGGTTAATATATATGCATTAAATATTAGTAGTGAAACATTTTGTTGCACAATAGTATAAATTAATTGATTGATAGATCTATTTAACAAGTACTAATTAGTAACATAGAATAATTATTTTAAGTAATTTATTATAACAATTGAAAAAAGACTATTGTAATAAATATTGAAATTCTTTAATTTCGTTTTGTGTATACACAGAGGATTTAAATGTTCCCTAACTCGTGCTTGAGCAAGGGAAAGACTCAATTGAGCACAAAGATAGGATGCCTGCAGATGTACATATTTTTATATTTCAATATTTATGAACTAGGTAAATTGTTCGCGCCTCGCACGTTGTTAAATTACATCAATATTTGACTTCTGAACATAGTGTTTATGGATTTTGTTATTAATTTATCATTTTACTGTAGTTATTCATCAACAAAGTCATTCGAAAAGATATGTAATTTTTTCATTGTCTATATTGGTATTTTCAAAAAGTGGTACACACATATTCGTCAAATGCGAGAGTTTTCCTCCTATTCAAGGCCTCTACATAAAGAATCTAAGTATTATACAGGTTATATAATTAGTTGTGTACTTGAGAAGTTTATTAAAATATAAAAACACATCTCTTTGATTTCAATGAAATAATGTATGTCGCTCAAATAATTTGGATTGAATGATATCTTGGCAAGTCCATTATTCAAAATCATACTGCAGTCAATGACAATACTTTGATAGACAGAAGACATATTTTTTTAGTTATGTTTCGATCAATATGGTTAAAACTCATTTTTTGAGGAGATAATTAATTCGTTCAAATATTTCATTCATATATATTCATCTTACTTTGAGAGGTAATTCATTGACTCCAACTCAACATTTTAACACCAACTGTTGGATTAAGGTTGAGTACAATACTTACCATCACACTACATCCCATTATTTTTTGGATGTAACTAATCGATTGAATGTCGCAATAACATCGAAAGTTGAATAAATAAAACTCCAAGGTAGTGTGGAACCACCATAACTTTTGAACACTCAAAGTCCCTTCTTGGACATTCCATGGATCTTTTAGCCATTGAAAACTAAGTAAAGATCAAAGTCATTTGTTTTACAAGTTTAAGAATTCTAATCTATATGATACCAATAATCTAATGATTACATTAAACTCTTTATTAATATATCTTTACTTCAACATAATGATCAAAAACACAAATATAAATAACAAAGTTTAAAACATGTCCTCAAAAATAAAGAATTAATAAAACAAGCATAAGTTAAAGATTGTGAAAATATGACACGATATTTAATAGTAAAATGAATTATAAATGAAAAAGTTGGGCCCGTTTAGTGCATATTGTAACCTTAAGAAACTTATTTCGTTCCAGTATCGGAGGTTTAAAGGAATAGATCATCTCAGGACAAAAGGATTTTATTCACCGATGTGTTGATTCAAAACCAATGCTTTGAGAGAGCTCATCAACACAAGCAAAGTTCACAAATATTTAATTGTGCAGAAGAAGAAGTAGTTTAGAATTTTTTTTGTGTTAAAATGAGAGAAAACCCCTCTATTCATAGATAACAAAGGGTAGTGTGAGTAAATTCTTATTGTGCCTTATTGGAATGGTCACAACTCTTTGGACAAGTTGTAACCTTTCATAAAAGTTACAACTTTTTTTATAAAAAATGCAACTCTTCATCAAAGTCACAACTCTTCATTAAAATTGCAATTCTTCATAAAAATTTCACTCTTCTTAAAAGTTGTAACTCTTCGTAAAAGTTGTAACATTTCATCAAAAGTCACAACTTTTTATAAAAGTCGCAACTTTTCATAAAAGTCACAAATTTTCCTGAAAGGGAAGACTAATTTTGGAAATAAATAAGTTAAAAGGGAATATTGGTTTGTGGTTGCGCCACATAGGTAGGCATAAGATTCTTTTTTATATGAATATATATGATATGACATATGATGATTATAGTGGTGAATTGAATATATAATATATACTTTTAATTTTGACGGTTAGCTTATGTTGCTTTATGTTTTTTTATGAGTTGAACACTAAATTGGGCGAATATGGAGTTAATTAATAGGTTGGATAAGAAGAATATTAATTAAATTATTTACTTAGACATAACGAACAAAAGCGGCTACATTTGCTTTATTTTATTATTCAAACATTGTAATATGTAAAGATCATATTGAAAATACATATATAGGTACAATTATACATAACTTTGTTTTACATGATTCATATATAAGATAATATTGGTAAAATAAACGTGTTGTGTTCTCAACACTTTTTAACAAGGCTAAAAGCGAAACATAATTAAATTATATTCAAATCAAAAGCAATATCTCTAAAAAAAGTATGACTAACATTAGAAAATTCATGCGAAAAAGAAAAAAAAACTTGTAGATTGACTTTCCGTAAAAGAGATGTTGTTTGATATGGAGTATATAGGTTGTCCGCAAACACTATTTTTTACTTCTAATGTACTATCTTGATCTTTTTCTATAAATAATAAATAAAAACTTATTATCTTATTGTGAATATTAAAATGAAAGAAAGACTGGTTTATACTTATGGTACTTTCTTTATGGTATATATTTTTTAGTTTGTATCAATATCTTTTGATACTTTCTCTGCGAACAATTTGAAATGTTATTTGATGAGAGTTCAATATCTTGTCTTCTATATTTTTCTATTATTTTGTTGAAGTATGGTATCATGCAATTTTTGTAGATTGTCGCCTACTCAAATGAATCACTTTTGTAGTTCTTTAGAAATATTCACAACACTCTATATTTCATTTGCTAAGATGATTAAGACATTAGAAGGTTTGCATTGCACTATTAGCATAATATAGAACAACTTCGCCTTTCCAGCTTGATGAAAAACACACAAAAAAAATGTTAGATTCTGAAATTTAAAGGATAACACAACTCTTACTTGGAAGATTTCTTGTTGTTTTTCCAACATTTTTTGTTCATCTCTTAGTTAAATATGTATT